GCCACCCCCCAACCCCCCCCCCCCCCCGCCCTGGGAAGGGCTCCTCGTGATGTCTGCCCTACCATCTCAAGAACTTCTCCTGATATCTACCCCACCACCTCAAGTGCTTCTCATGATGTGTACTACCCCACCCAGCACGGGTGTTTCTCATCATACCTGTCCCACCACCGCCGTTTTGCTTCTCGCCAAGCCTACCCCACCACGGTGCCCGCCGGACAGCGCGTCAGCCCGGGGTTCAGCGCCGGGTTGTTGTTGGCGTACACGTGCACCAGGGCGCTGAAGAGGGCGGGGTCCTTCTGGCGGAGGTGCTCCCTGACCAGCGGCACGGTGGTGCAGACGGCGTTGCCGCACATGTTCATCGTGCCAGTGTTGCTGTTGCCCTCGTAGTCCACGCCGAAGAACGCCGCGGAGGCCATGGCCCAGTACTCGTGGTCGTTGGCCATGGCGTAGGTGTTGAGCTGCCAGGTGGCGTGCTGCTTGGCCGCATTGTACGCGTTGGTGATCTGGGTCCGGATGGCGGCCGTCGTCGCGTAGGTGTGGACCAGGTGGGCGAACTCGTGGACCAGGATGTTAACCGTGTGGTGGTACGGGTCGGCGCTCGTGCACAGGACGATGTCGTCGAGGACCACGGCACGGGAGTTGGTCAGGCCACCGATGTCCTCATACTTGCGGCCGTCGAACGTACAGGTGTGGGAGCAGGTGCCTGCAAGAGAGGTGTACTTTAATTTGGAAGTGCGATATTATAATACGTCATGAACTTTGAATTTTAACCAGATGCCTTTGTCCAAAATTGTCTTTCTTCTTTTCTTTCTGTATATAAAATATAATATTAATAATAATAGTAATAAAGCTTATTTGAAAATCACGCTTCATATTAAAGTAAAAAGCTGCGCATTTTTGACGAGATAAGGTGGAAATAGTTCTTTTAATGACACATATATACATATGACATATATATATATATATATATATATATATATTTATTTATTTATTTATATATATATATCTATTTATATAAATTCAATTGAATCAGGGTTTCATGGATTATTTATCATACATTTGGCGTAACATGTTTCCCTCACAGGGATTATTTATCCTACATTTGGTGTAACATGTTTCCCTCACAGGGATTATTTATCCTACATTTGGTGTAACATGTTTCCCTCACAGGGATTATTTATCATACATTTGGTGTAACATGTTTTCCTCACAGGGATTATTTATCCTACATTTGGTGTAACATGTTTCCCTCACAGGGATTATTTATCCTACATTTGGTGTAACATGTTTCCCTCACAGGGATTATTTATCATACATTTGGTGTAACATGTTTTCCTCACAGGGATTATTTATCCTACATTTGGTGTAACATGTTTCCCTCACAGGGATTATTTATCATACATTTGGTGAAACATGTTTCCCTCACAGGGATTATTTATCCTACATTTGGGGTAACATGTTTCCCTCACAGGGATTATATTTGCGATTTTTCTTTGGTCATACTTATTTGTGAAGTTTATTATACATTAATTAATGATAAAAATTGATCTGAAATTTTTATGTTTAGTTGAAAGAGGTTCGTGTCCCTTAGCGTGTTGAAAATCTGTTAGTCTGCCGGCATTTACAATATCAAGTTTATGTAAACGATCATCAACTTTTACGGGTCGCCTCTCGCTGCGTAGGTTTATAAAAGTTTGGATTAGTTGAAGTAAAACATTGTCAATTGATTCAAACATACGTCATCTTAACGGGTAATAATGCCTCATATCCCCCTTGAATGCATGTCAGAAAAGTAAACAAAAATTTGAAAGGAAATAGCTATTTGTGTGGAAATAATTTAAGTTCACTTTGGTTGCATTTTAATGTAGACTTATTATTGCAACTTTTATTCTAATGTGAACGATATTTTCAATTGAATCAACCCCCCCCCCCCAACCCAAATCATAATTTGACGGGGTGTTGCTAGTAAATTAAAATCTTGCTTTACACAGTATTTTAGCTAGCCGTACAGCTATCACGTTAAAAGAAAACTCTCTCTATGCAACGTACCGGCACAAGACGCCCCACAGCTGCCGCTGGCCAGGTTTTTGTTCTCCGGGAAGACGGTGAGTTTCTCGGCGGCCGTGAAGATGCCGACGGTTCCTCTGGTCAGGGACTCGAACATGCTCTGCGGCATGTACCTGGTCATCTTCTGGATCACGCCGGCCGCCACGTCCACGGCGTGCTGGCTCGTCCTGGGCGACCCGGCGATCTCCAGCTGGTGATGGGCCGGGATGAGCGTCGGGGTGATCTGATGGTTGGTGGCATCGAGGTAGCGGTATTTGAACCCGGGGATCTGGGCTCCGGCTTTTCCCTTGGGCAGCGAGTTGAGGAATATGAAATCTTCGGCCGCCAGGTGGTAGTTGGGGATGCTGTTGTTGTGGAAAGGCAGAGCGGCAGCACCTGTTAGGAAGATTTGGGTTAAAAAAAAAAAAAGGAATACAATTCTTTTCAGTGATAAAAAAAATGTGTAGATTTCCGTCGAGGGTTGAAGAGGGATGAGGTAAAGGGAAAAAAGCGCTTTTGCTTATAGGCTGATGAAAAACTTTAGATGCTAAGAAAAGTATTTATAAAAATAAAGCAAAGTTTTAATGATAACTGACAACTAGAAGTATAGGCATCTAGTTTTTCTTCACATAGTAAACTGTAAAAGCTTCATATTTAAATTTCTGGACTCTGTATCCAAGACAGGATGGTGTAAGAGAGGATGGTATAAAAGAGGATGGTGTAAGAGAGGATGGTGTAAGAGAGGATGGTGTAAGCGAGGATGGTGATAGAGAGGAAGGTGTAAGAGAGGATGGTGTAAGCGAGGATGGTGATAGAGAGGATGGAGTAAGAGAGGATGGCGTAAGAGAGGATGGTGTAAGATTAGGATAGTGCAAGAGAGGATGGTGTAAGAGTGGATGGTGTATTCCAAATGGATATTCTCCCCGCGTTTTCATGGAGCCTGTGGGCGTTTTTCTAAAATGAAGAGCACTGTGACCCCACGCAGCTGACACCCCCTCCTCTCTTTCTCTCTCTCCCTGGTTGGAATCAACAGTTTTCATAGGATTTCAGTTCAATCCCATCATGTCCGGTGACCCGTTGAAACCGCACAAAGTCGGCCCCGTGCCAAGTGTTTTAGGACATCCACATACATTATTTAACACAAGAGTACCGCATAACACAGCAATGTTAGATCTAACTGCAATGCCACATAACACAGCGAGGTCTCATAGCACAGCAATGTCACATAACACAGCAATGTCACATAACACAGCAACGACACATAACACAGCCATGTCACATAACACAGCAATTTCAGATCTAACTGCAATGCCACATAACACAGCGATGTCACATAACACAGCAATGTCACATAACACATCAATGCCACATGACACAGCAACGCCACATAACACAGCAATGCCACATAACACAGCAATGCCACATAACACAGCAATGTCACATAACACAGCGATGCCACATAACACAGCAATGCCACATAGAACAAAAATCCTTAACGCATAAAACTACCAACAGTTGGTGAGAATTACCGGCACATTTTTTAGTTAGGCTTCAATAAACATGGCACATTCTCTCTCCCCCCAAGAAAAAACAACAAACAAACTTGGTCAACATGATGATGAATCCCACCTGAATAGTCTTCTTAGTTTTGACAACAAACGATTGCTCATATCGATATTAATGAGGAGAGCTTCATAAATTCACACATACAAATTAATCGATACAATAAGTGACTTTCTTTAACGCCTTTCCAACGAGGGCATTAGGTCTAACCAATACGGGAGAACATTAAAAGTTCGATCTGAATCATTTAATCTAAGACGTATACCTGCTACGGCGAGAGACAACAACAACAGTATAGACATGGTCAGGGTCTCCTGGACGACGACTTGATGATAGGGCTGGCACGAAGCTGAAGTGCTCGGTGGTCAAGTCGAGTCTTTTAAAAACTTTTAATAAGTTCTGATGAATCGGGTCAAAGTCTGTGAGAACTCAAACACGTTTGTGACTTACTTAATTATTAGGTAACGTCATTGTACCACCGACAATCCGGTTCTGTACTGCGGGAGAGCTGCTCGGGGGGGGGGGGTGGGGCGAGGAGACCTGCTGGGGGCTGCCAAGGTCATCGGAAGTAGATTTTCTTTTTTGGTTGCTCGTTGAACATTTTTAATGCCACGAACTCATACAACAAGGGGCCACCTGTCAAATGTTTGAAAAAGTGAAACTTTTTTTTTTAATGAAAAAAGTTACACATCCCAAACATCGACGTAACTAACGTGTGATTTAACACAACTTGTGCTTATGTCAATTTATTTGATTCACTTAAGTAAGATGCGCTATATAGCGTATGTGCCGTTGAACTCCATACATTTCGAAGTGGCTGCCTATTGCTGTGATAGGATTTTTGTTTACCAGTACAAAAAGAAAAAAAAATGCTTACCATTGGTTAAAAGTAGACTTTTGAAATAAATACCTACGATAAGAAAGGCAAGGTCTTTTTTTTTAACCGTATGGCAGGTAACACATCCACATACAAACACAAGGTCACTTATTCTTTTTCACAGACACATACTCTTTCTTGCACACACTCACACATACATACTTACACACACACACTCACATGGACACACACACAAATATATATATATATATATATATATATATATATATATATGTGTGTGTGTGTGTGTGTTGTGTATGTGTGTGTGTGTGAGTGTGTGCACGTGTGTGTGTGTGTTTAACACATCCACATACAAACACAAAGTCACTTATTCTTTTTCACACACACATACTCTTTCTTGCACACACACACACATACATACATACACACACACACTCACATAGACACACACACAAATATATATATATATATATATATATATATATATATGTGTGTGTGTGTGTGTGTGTTGTGTAAGTATGTGTGTGTGAGTGCATGCACGTGTGTGTGTTTATGTGCATATATGCTCGTGTTAATGATGATTATGAGATGTTTATAAAAAGTTGAGATATTCATATTTCCTTAGTACCAGTGCTGACAGAACCACTCTGTAGTTATTCGAATGAGGACCAGGCGCACATAAAAACCAGACTACACGCTTCATATTTCTTTGAAAAGGACACACACAAACCAAACTAAACAAAACAACTCTTATCATCACCCAGATGAGATGTGAACACAGGAGTGGAGTCGCTAGATCTTATGACCTCCGGGCGGTCCTTGACTCTGACGTCACTCACGCATGAAAACCGAATTCTGCTGATAGACTCTGTCTTATCTATACATTCAAGTAAATAGACATTTCTATCTATAGATACAAGCAGTGATTATTTCACAAATTTTCCCGGGGGGGGGGGGGGCACCCAAATTTTTCAGGGGGGGGTGCCCCCCCCCCCCCAACCGAGATATAGCTGAAAGAAACACTGGATACAAGTAAAAGACACTTTTATCTAGTTACAAATTGTGGTCACTTATCGTAATTATGCTAGATAAAATGAAATGGAGTGCGGAGTTGTAATCCGGACTCTTTGTCTTTGGCTCTCTTGATCCTAGTAGTGCATTGTCTAGTTACAAATGTCCACTTTCCTCAGCCCTGAGATGGTGTTGGCAGAGCATTTCACAACTGGCCGCCTCTCTAGCTCTCCCTGTTGTAGTCGCTTCGTCTTCACGTCAACGACGGTCTTTCTCACCCCCCTCCCGATCCCCTGACGCCCCACTGTATATTCCAGAGCATAGTCTGTCACTTTTTACTTAATTTTTTTGGGGTTGTATTTTGGTGTCCATATCCCTTTTTCCCTCATTGAAATAGGTTTGTATAATGAATTTTTAAAACTTTGAAAAAATAATGTAAAAAAAAATATAAAAAAATAAAAACACAACTAAAACTGGAAGATAAATACCAGTTGTCTCCCTTAGATAACTGAGATCAGCTACCATACAGATAACTAAGAATCAGCCACATCTTAGATAACTGAGATCAGCGACCATACAGATAACTAAGAATCAGCCACATCTTAGATAACTGAGATCAGCTACCATACAGATAACTAAGAATCAGCCACATCTTAGATAACTGAGATCAGCTACCATACAGATAACTAAGAATCAGCCACATCTTAGATAACCTAGATCACTTAGATGACAAATAACTAAGACCAGCTATATTACAGATAACTAAGATCAGTTACTATTTAACTGAATGTATTTTATTTATTTATTGAATGTATTTGTTTACAGAATTGCAAAGCAAACTGTAAAACTGAGAAAGTAAACCCATGCCTTTTTACACGAAGGAAAATGTTAATAATAAAATGTTTAAAACACATAAAACATTTATTTCAAAATATAACGGCTAACATCTTTTCTGTTCTTAACAACCCCCACCCCCACCCCCCCCCCACACACACACACCTTTTTCCCCTCGTATCACCTGAAATTCTTGTTTACACCCCTGGCTGAGAACCATTGGTGTAGAATGTAGATTGACCGGATGAATTATTTGTTTTGGTTTTTATAGCATTCAAAATGTATCGACTTCCCCTGCCCAACAGTTGGCATTCATAAAAAAATCTCTTGGAGTTAGTGCAATAACGGTTGTACCGAATTTTTCTTAAATTGATGGGAAATAGGTGAGAGGAAAAAAAAACCAAAATAAAACCAAAAAAAAAAAAATAAATAAATCTTTAAGTGTCTTAACAAACAGCCTTCAAAGATCTGAAATGGAAGACTAGAGGGAATGAGAGGGAATGAGACATTGGACAAGCAAAACTCGATTCTTGTATGAGGATGGAAAAATAGGATAAAATAGATTTATATTATCTGTTTACATAATTACAAAAAAAAAAGAAAAAAAAAGAAAACAATGGCCTTGACTGGAATAATTTTTACTCGGTACAACAGGCAGAAGAGAGTATTGGAATGGCGGCACTGCGTAGAAATAAGATGTGAGTTGGGTGATTTGTGCTAAATAACCGTTGAGGTTTAATAAACTCGTGTGCGTACCTAATTATGGAGAGAGGACCAAAAAAAAAATCATGTGCAAAATGTTGAATGTGAAGAAACATCACACATAAATAGCGAATGCAAAGTTTATGTAAAGTCTGGTTTATAATAAATAAAAATTTAAAAAAAAACACGAATTAAGCAAAACTGAGACTAGAGTAAGTCGTAACACCCCTAACTTAGGAAGGTGGGGGGTGGTGGGGTAGCGGTCTGCTTCGATTGGCACTTTCTAGTACCGTATGTATTTTCGTCCAACTGCACAGTTTTTTTCGTTGTGTCGGAAGTGGGGTTCTTGTACCACGCCCTACCATTAACGTTAGCTACAACACTAGGAACGCCCATGACTTTCAAAAGCTTTGTATATTCTATCATGAAATAAATGGAGCGCCTCCCCCCTCCCCAAAAAAAAAAAAAAAAAAAAAAAAAAACAACAACACTTTTTAATCAGTTGATGTTTGAGCTGACTGACGACTAGAGCAAAGGGTAAGATGTGACGTAAACAGAATATGTGGTGCACACGAAGCTGTGACACATGTTCCGTTTCCCACGCCTCGTACCTAACTTTCAACTAGAACTTGATCCAATTGTACTGCACTCTTTACATCTCTATCATAGTCTCTATATCTCTATCATAGTCTCTATATCTCTATCATGCACTTTAGTCTGATAAACTTACGGGTACAACTGGCCTGACCACATTAAACCTTTGTTGATCTGAGACCAATGCGCAATAGGGGAGGGGGGGGGGACAAATACTTGTCTGCTACCAAGATTATGAATTCAAGATTACGTTGAATTATTTGTTTTTTCCAACGGCTTCCAAATCTGTCGAAAAATAAAACTCAGTTATGCATCAAAATAAATACTTCACATAATAAATACAACATAAATCCAGAACAAAATAAATACAACATAAATCCAATAAATTATAAATACAACATAAATCGCACACATAATAAATACAACATTAATCCCTCACATCATAAATACAAAATAAATCCTTCACATAATAAATACAACAAAAAACGCTTCACATAATAAATACAACATAAATCACTCACATAATAAATACAACATAAATCCCTCACATATAAATACAACATAAATCCCTCACATAATAAATACAACATAAATCCCTCACATAATAAATACAAGACAAATCCCTCACATATAAATACAACATAAATCCCTCGCATATAAATACAACATAAATCCCTCACATATAAATACAACATAAATCCCTCACATATAAATACAACATAAATCACTCACATAATAAATACAACATAAATCCCTCACATAATAAATACAACATAAATCCCTCACATATTAATACAACATAAATCACTCACATAATAAATACAACATAAATCCCTCACATATAAATACAACATAAATCACTCACATAATAAATACAACATAAATCCCTCACATATAAATACAACATAAATCCCTCACATATAAATACAACATAAATCACTCACATAATAAATACAACATAAATCACTCACATAATAAATACAAAATAAATCCCTCACATATAAATAAAACATAAATCACTCACATAATAAATACAACATAAATCCCTCACATATAAATACACCATAAATCCCTCACATAATAAATACAACATAAAGATGACTAACTCCACGCTGAAGCCGCAGTAAGTCTAAAACAAGGATATCTCGAAAAAAAAAAAGGAGAGGAACTGTTGGGTATCTTTATCTGAACCTAATCTGTGACACTAAGGACAGAACCGATGATTTAAAGATTGTGATGTCTGTGTGATCCCATGCCGTGTCATTGTATTTGGGGTGTAACATAGAATATCGTGCCAGGGGAGACGGCGGGGAGCCAATGAAAACTGTGTTAGGAGGAATAACTTAGCGGAAAATGAGTGGCCAAAAAAAAAAACTGGTTAGAAAAAAAAAAAAGAACTTAGAGGGTTTCAAAACATGACTGATCAGATGCGAGTTTTGGAACGTTCTCAAGCTAGAGACTGGCCAGCGTGAAGTAATTATTTACAAGTTATGTAATCAATGTGATGGTTTTGT